TCCATCTCACGTAGAAGGTGCGTAGAAATAGTACCGTTCAGTTTTTTGGTTCGGGTTATATTTTGGTGTCAGTGGCCGTATGCTTAGTTTTGTTTATTAGCTCCCTCTCACCGATCAACGCTTCCGTCTTCCATAGGCGGGCTATCCATTTACTCTGATCGATCATCTGAAAGTATGCTCGATACCCCGAGGAGTGAAGTTAGCCGAGAGTTTGAGGTTTTGGTTTTAGTTCTGTTTGCTTTTGTTTTTATTATTTATACGTGAAGATCCCTATAATTTATCTACTGTTCTCTTCTTTCTTTTCTTTTCGTTTCATTTTCAGTCGTTCTATTCGTTAAAATATTGTGACATTCGATGATCCTAGACTGAAAGACACGATCGAATCGTGCAAAAATTTAGCACTTTCATGATAATTTTTCTGTTTGGGAAATTTAATCATAGCAGAGATCGCCGCGGTCGGCAGTGTTGAGGTTGTGAGCACCCTTTCTATGGCGAGGTATTCTATCATTGTTCGCTAATATGCGTGGCTACAGTGTTCGCATTACCTTATTTACCAAACCGTGCATTACCCTTTCTGTTTCGTTTACTGCATGCTTTTTGTGTCAGTTCAGTTCATCAGTAGAAATCAGATGTTACCGGCATCCTCTCGTCCGAAAGCAGGTTGTTGCACATCATTTTTTATCATATTTTTGTAGTCTAGGATAAACACTGATCAGCCAAAAGCCTGATCACTGCAAGCCGGGTAATATTTGAGAATTGTGCATGGCTGACCAAATAGTCAAACTTTGTCCACCTAAAGTTTCAAACATTTTTTATGTATTTTTGAGGTGACGACGTCACGGTCATCGCGTGGAGAAGACGAATTACATGCGTTTGAGTTCGTTCATAATCCTAAACGAGTGTCACGCTTCAATTCTCGCCTTTGCGGGACTCCATCATCGATGAACTACCCGACTACATCCGTTTCAAATCCCGTCACACCTTCCGATGCAGTTGTTCTTTTGAATCCAGGGCGCGTCACCTCCAGCAGTTTTACGTCCAATCCAGCCTCTAAAGAAGGAGGAGGCGTCATCGTGGAGGGATAAGCCTGCAGAAGTGCTCATTCTTACGTCACTCATTTTCACATAACCTCAGCGATGTGAGTCTGGCAACCATTTCCCAACTCCGATTGCTCGAAAAACTGTTTTCTAAATGCAATCGGAGAGTAATGTGTTACACTGGTTTATAATGCATATCAAACTCATCCTAGATCATTGGGTTACGTCCGCTTAAACTTCACTTGAAACGTGAAATGAATCCTCCTCCTTTGGTTGCACCTTCGCTTCACGAAGAAGCGAAATCTGCTGCTCAAATACATTACGTGAGCCTAAACGTTGTGGTAATGCCGTTGTGGATTGTAGTGACGTGCAGAAACAAATTAGCACTAGGTAGCGTGTTGTGCTGTGCAGTATGGAGAGTTCAAGAGGTTTTTTGTCCACTAAATACTTCTTTTTTCAGAAATCAAGAAGAACACAGCTACACTCGAGAAACTTCCGAAATCACAGCGCTCAACGCCATGTACCTTCATCTGCAGCGGCAAGAAAGAGCAGTCATCAACGGCGACATCGAAGAACGGGTTAGTTTTGGTTTCCAAAATTGATAAACAGCTTATCTAAACTTCCATGATAAAATGAATTGGTTTCGAGAACTTTTCTTTAGTCCTCATAGGTAATTTCCGCTTAAGGTTTTATTCACTCTTCTCTTTCTATTTAGTCTTTTCTTATTATTTCCGATTTCCTGAATTCATTTAGTGAAGCCGGCATACCATTTTCAGATTGTTTTGGTTTTGATTGATAATTGTTCAGTTGTAATCAAGAGCCTCCGGAACACTTCCTCCATTGTTTCGGTACAGCGTTCCACCGTAATGTCAAATATTTAAGTTTCCGTTAGTAGGGTTTGAGAGGAGTTAGGCTGCCTAATTCTGTGGAATTAGCTCTGGCCACTTGTTTTCCTTGTGCTTATGCCCACAGCCTTTCCATTCTATACTGTAGTCATCTTAGTTTATTTTCCACCACAAAACTTCCTGAACCTTGACGATTAAATCTGTTTCAAAACACCTACATAAGTAGGCTTTCCACCTGTCAGATTATATATTAGTCCCGTCAGACTAGCGAACTCTGGAATCCCTCGAAATCCGTTGATAATTCCATGTCTTAACGCGCACGCGCCATTGAATACATAATCTTAGGGGCCTCACCTCATCGATAGTTTGCTTTCCATACATTTACATGTGCATTTTTTTTACAAATGTTCCTCAGAAGTTTGTCCACTCACTTGATCTCTCACGTAAGATCTGCGTATAGATTCCCTCATTGACCTCGTGCTGTGAAGGAGTTGGCTAAATGACTATTTTTCCACGCGCGTCGTGCCCACCGTTCGAGATATCCTAATCTTGAACTTGTTAGTTAAAGGCATCGAAATATCGATGGGATTCCATTTTCATTTTTCATTGTCTCCCTTCATTCTTTTTAGTTCTTCCATTTGTTGCCATTCTAGAGAATTGGCTAAAGAGCAATGACGTCAGTATTTCCATTCTGTCCGATTCCTCCTATCTTGCTCATGGTGGATTTGCAAAAAAAATCATTGTCGTACCGTAGCCATTTCGAAAACCCTATCGCACTACTATTCGTACGCCTTTTTCTGCCTCCTTCCTATCCCCTGTGTCATGGATTTTTTATA